AGTGAGTGAGTGAGTGAGTGAATGTGTTTGGGAGTGCGTTTGTGTGTTTGAGTGTGTGTTTGCACGCATATGTGTGCATGTTTGTGTGCGTGTGTGTGATTGAATGCGTGTTTTTATGTCTGTGTGTGTGTGTTTATATGTGTGCTTGTGTGTTTGTGTGTCTGTGTGTGTGAGTGTGTGTTCACTGGCAGTTTTCACAGTATCAAAACAAGGCTTAAAACACTTTGTTTATCTGACGTGACACACTTGAAACACACACACACACACACACACACACACACACACACACACACACATATGGGATTGGTGGGCGGGGAGAACCAGCTCATTTGCATTTAAAGTCTTGATTAGATTAGAGTCTGAAATGAGCCTATTCTGCAGTGTACAGTGAATAATCTGATGGGTGCTTTGAGCTGAGACTTTACAGACCCGTCCTGGAGACACCAGAGACTCAGCTTACATCTTGTAAAAGAGGTAAAATAGGATCCCTTTAAGAGAAGGAGTGTAAGGTGTAGATAAAGAGGGAGATGGAGAGAGAGAGACATCAGATGAGAAGCAGAGTTTGGCAGTGATACGAGCTGGATTGATGATTGAGATTCCCCGGGTGTTGCCGCGGGATACATCAGGGAATTATGGGATGATGGCGGTGTGGAAGCACAAATCAAACACGCTTTCATGAACTCCATCTCACCCTTCACTCATCGCCTTGTTCCTCTCCAGATCCTGGATGACATTGAGAAGAACTTTGATCTTTTCCTGATTATACAGCAGGTTTTCCTCCACGTTCTGCAGCAGGCCGTGCAGGACGCCCGGAGCCCCGTTGCATTGTGGGATCTGGTCTGTTGTGGGTTGACGGGCATCCTTGCGGTCCGTTTCAGTTTTAGGTTCTGCAGGAAGAGGTGGGGCTTTTGATTTAGGCTCCGCCTTTGAGCCAATCAGAAGCTTTGGAAGTGCTGGTTTTGATTTGACCTGCGAGCCTTTCTTGGGAGGGAGAGTAGGCGTGGCTTGTGACTCACAGCCAATCGGTTTGGAGACAGTTTTTTGCACGGCACATTTGTCTTTTGTGTGTGCTGCTTCAGTTTTAGCCGTGTGTGTCACTCGTGTTTGTGTGTGTTGCGTTTTGTGTGTTGTCGAATTAGACAACTCGGTTTTTGCGCGCACTTCTTTTTTGTTGGATTGCAAGGGGGTGGAGCTTGTCGCGTTTTGCGCGACGTGATTGGATATTTGCGCATACGTGGGCTGTACGACTGTGGAGTTTCGTTTCTGCATCTGAGGCGTGCAGCTCCTGCGCGGTGGCATCGGGAGCGTCATGCTGGCTTGAACTTGACTGGCGGCTCGTTTCCGACAGGCTGGCGCCATGCAGGGCGGAGCCTGAGACTGTCTCCGCCCACAGCTGGCGCACATTCTTGGCGATGACGTCATCATTCGGCATGGCCGAGGGGGCGTGGTGCATGAGCTGATGGATGGTCTGGCCGCCTCCCCTTTTAGTGATTGGCCCCGCCTACACTCACGTGTTATAGTCTGACTCTGCCGTCTTGCTTCATCAGGCTCCGCCCCTTCGCTACAGACCCCGCCCACCACCTCAGGTGCAACAACACTTCCGTTAACATAGCGAGGGGCTCTTTTTAAACTTCCTCTCAGCGCAGATTGATTCGAGTTCACTTTTATTTGGCAGTACACCTCGCTTTCATTTGACGTCTGGTCCTGCGGCGCATTTCTCGATTTTGTGGTCTTCCCATTGACTTCGCAGCGCCTCACTCTGTCGAGGGACATGGTTTCCGCGGTCGGTCCGTTTGCCGTACTGACCGTTTGCGTTCTCCGTTTTAATGACGGAAGCGAACGGAGGCCCGGCGACGTCTGGACGCCAACGCTGCACAAAGGACCCCATTTTTGACTCAGCACAGCCCGCCCACCCGCTAGAGGCACTTCCAGTGCTGGCACCGCATTGGACGTGTCAGCTGCCCGTCGGCCCATGAGCTCAGCTGATTGGCTCAGCCCCCAGAGGAGGAGCTGATGTGGGCGTGGCCTGTGTTTACAAGCATACTATCTCAAACAAGAGCAATTATTCCTCGCTTTGCTTTGGGTAATGGTATTCCACAGTGTTTGCATTGGTTTTCAGATCCGTCTTGTTGTTCGTCTAGTGCCACTTTATCTTTTTTGTCTTGTTTACCTGAAATAAAAAGAAATATGTGTGTGAGAGATAATATGTGCTGTAGCTTCATAATCTAATATAGATACTCATCATTTCAAACAGTTAAATGTTAAGATGCACTTTGGAGACACAAAATGAATGAATATATGAATGAATAAATAAATAAACGCAATGAATGAAAAAATGCATGAATTAATAAATAAATGCAATGAATGAATGAAAAAATAAATGCGTCAACTGAATGATCAAATTAAGAAATGCAACGAATGAATAAATAAATTATTAAAAAATGCAATGAATGAATAATTAAATACAGTACATAAATAAATGAAACAAATTAATAAATAAATAAATAAATAAATAAATAAATGCAATGAATGAATAAATTAACGAATAATTAAATAAATAATCAAATGTAATAAATTAATAAATAAATCCAAAGATTTTTTTATTATATATTAAAAAAATGAATGAAGAAATAAATAAATGCAGCCCTTCTATCCACAACCCATCTCTAGGAAATAAAATAAACTAATTAATGAATAAATAAATAAATGAAAAAGTAAATAAATAATTAATACAATGAAAGAATGAATAAATAAACAAATGCAATAAATGAATGAATGAATGAATGAATGAATGAATGAATAAAATAAATGAATAAAAAATAAATGCTATTAATGAATAAATGAATAAAATAAATAAATGCAATGAATGTATAAATAAATAAATGCAATTAATTATTAAAGGAATAAATAGATGCATGTATAAATAAATGCATGCAATGAATGAATGAATTAAATTAATAAATAAATAAATGAATGAACAAATAAATAAACACAATTAATGAATGATCAAATCAATTAATTTATTAATGCATTGAATGAATGGATACATAAGAAAGAAAGAAAGAAAGAAAGTAATGAATGAATGAATGAATGAATGAATGAATGAACGAATAAATAAACAAATGAATGAATAAATGAATGACCAAATAAATAAATAAATGCAATGAATGAAATCCAAATGATAAATAAATCATCCAAACTGGAAACCTTTTTTTAAAACGAAAGAAAAAAGAAAGAAAGAAAGAAAGAAACGAACGAACGAACGAACGAATAAATAAATAAGTAAATAAATAAATAAATAAATAAATAAATAATCCATATGACAAATAAATCACCCAATGGGTAAATTTATGCTTTCATTTTTATTTATTTATTCATTTTATGACTTTATATGAAATATATATATATATATATATATATATATATATATATTTTTTTTTTTATTTTTTTTTTTTTCTCCAATAATGGTTGTGTGCCTTAAGGTGATTGTAAGCTGTGGTTCAGTACAGTATACTGTTTGATAAAAAAACACTTTATTTATTTATTTATTGAAGTAGCTTGTTGGTATATTTTGTGGAAACTGCTAAAGCTCTGAATAGATAACATCATCACTCTTTTATTTAGTCGCTTTGCAACACTGAGCATGTGTGTGTGTGTGTGTGTGTGCGTGCGTGCGCGTGCGTGGGTGCGTGTGTGTGTGTGTAATCAAGAATGCCAGTCAAGTAAAGAAACCAGAGAGCCGCTCTTAAAGTTCACGTCCATCTTGGGCTCCGAGACTCCATCAAGCCCAAACAGCACTATTAGGAATATTAATGAGGGTTAAGCAAATCCCCCATATGTCACTTCCAGCTGATTAAAGTCTGTCTCGGTGTCTGTGTCTGTCTTCCTGAAGGGCTGTGATTATCACTTTATTCCTCTCTGTAATCTCGTCCTCATCTTAAGTGTGTCCGCGGCTCCTCTAACAGGACTTTCCTTTCTTCTGCTCGCTGATAAGCTTGTAGTTCATATCTCACTCTCTGTTAAGCCTCTTTCCTTTTATGAGACTGATTTAAAGCTGCAGGACTCCTGTGTGTGTGTGCGGAACATTTGATATTGGGGTAGGGAGCCAGAACATTCAGTCTGCACAGTATAAACAACAATACAACCATAGGAAGAGCCCATATAACATGAAAACCCGACTGTGTGTGTGTGTGTGTGTGTGTGTGTGAGTGGATATTGCTGGTCTAAATACTAATGACCCCCATTAGCCTCTAACAGATGAACATTATCATACAACACTAGTCACTTATTTCATAAACACACACACACAGACACAAGCAGACGGACTAATGAGGAGCAGTGTGTGTGTGTGTGTGTGTGTGTGTGTAATTAGTAATTGAGCTGTGTGTGGAAGTGTGTCAGACTCTTCTTTGCGGATGTGGATATTAGCATGATCAGAGGATCCTCCAGCAGATCCGTTCATTAGCAGAGTGTTCATTTAAACTGGAGAAGACATGTTGACTCTCCTCCTCTCATCTGCCTTGTGTGTGTGTGTGTGTTTTCTGCTTTCATTAATCGGCTGCCCTTCACACATTTTGACTTTGAAATTAAGTTTAGAGTATAGAATACCGTGGTATTACCATGGTGTAGAAATACTTAGCTATATGGCTATGGTATAATATTGGCACGGTATTACTTAGTACCATATTGAAATGATATCTCAGTGGGTAGCCACCTTCTTGCGATGAGGCCACAGTGCTAACCACTGAGCCACCACACCACATTACATGTAGATACAGCCTTGTGCGAAAAAGCAGATTTCTCATGCTTTCACAAGAGCAAGATAAAGAGCAAATTTTCAAAATAAACAACACAATCTCACGGCAATTCGTAACTTTTTCATTTAGTGGCTAATACGTATGAATTCGTACGATCTAATTCGTACAATTTAGTACGATTTGCTCATCCCCCAATGACGATTGGGGTTAGGGGTGGGGTCAGGTGCCACGCCTCCTTTTTAAAATCGTACCATTTCGTACGACTGAACTCGTACGAATTCGTACGAATTAGCCACTAAACTGGCAAAACGTAAAATACTTACGTTTTCTCGTGAGATCAGGCTGAAATAAATGTGATTGAGAGTGTTTTTGCACAAGATTCTTATAGGAGATCGGTTTTTATCTCCCCATGCAGTGTTTAAGAGCCGTTTCTGAGGTTGAGGATGCGCCAAGAGGCACTAAAACTGCATAAATGTTGCATGTTCCCCTTAATAAAAGCAAACTGTGTGTGTGTGTGTGTGTGTGTGTGTGTGTGTGTGTGTGTGTGTGTGTGTGTGTGTGTGTGTGTGTGTGTGTGTGTGAGAGAGAGAGAGAGATGTATGCAGTTAAACATTAATATTGTTTAAGTCAGGCTGGCTGTTTTTAGTAGAGCAAGATGTATTAAACAGACCAAAATAATCCTTATTTAACAATCATTTGATGTTTAAAAATTTTATACACTTGCCGGCCACTTTATTAGGTCCACCTTACTGGTACCGGGTTAGACCCTCTTTTGCCTTCAGAACTGCCTTAATCCTTCATGGCAGAGATACAACAAGCTACTGGAAATATTCCTCAGAGATTTTGCTCTATGCTGACATGATAGCATCACACAGTTGCTGCAGTTCCCGTTCCACCACATCCCAAAGCTGCTCTATTGGATTGAGATCTGGTGACTGTGGAGGCCATTTGAGTACAGTGAACTCATCGTCATGTTCGAGAAACCAGTCTGAGATGATTGAGCTTAATGACATGCTGCGTTATCCTGCTGGAGGTAGCCATCAGAAGATGGAGACACTGTGCTCATAAAGGGATGGACATGGTCAGCAACAATACTCAGGTAGGCTGTGGCGTTGATGCTCAATTGGTACAAATGGACCCAAAGTGAACCAAGAAAATCTCCCCCACATCATTACACCACCACCACCAGCCTGAACCGCTGATAGAAGGCAAGATGGATCCATGCTTTCATGTTGTTGAGGCCAAATTGTGAGCCGAGCATCTGAATGTGTCAGCAAAAATGGAGACTCATCAGAGCAGCAACGTTTCTCCAATCTTCCAGTTTTGGTGAGTCTGTGTGAATTGTAGCCTCAGTTTCCTGTTCTTAGCTGACAGGAGCGGCACCCGGTGTGCTCTTCTGCTGCTGTAGCCCATCCGCCTCAAGGTTGGACGTGTTGTGTGTTCAGAGATGCTCTTCTGCAGAGCTCGGTTGTAACGAGTGCTTATTTGAGTTACTGTTGCCTTTCTATAAGCTGGAACCA